GACTCTTTCTCCTCTTCTCTACTTTCGTTAATTCGCTATTCAATCAACCCTTTTCTTCATATTACTGTCTTAACGTCCTCGGTGGTATATGTCAAGAGCGGTATGGTTTATCATGGCATATGAGACACTTTTTGTTTCGGATCTTTTACTCAGGCGTTCAGCATTTGGAATTTTGGTCTTGGCGCATAGCATGAACGGGTATCTAGGCGCTTCACTTTTTGAAGAGTTTTGCAGCATTGTTCTACGCGGTAGATGGTAGCGGTAGTCAATACAGAAGAATATCCACAGTACTAGTTCACATTGCTCAAGTCACTTCATCATGGTATGGACTTCCAACGAGCATACCCTTGACGACGACATGTTCCTGACATTTCGCTTACGCCTGATGTTTGCCTAATACAGGCGGTTAAGCGAGCATGTCAAACACGACTACCTTCTCCTTTAACTTTTGTGAACTTCCTCTTGTCCGTAGTACAATATCAAAGGTATGTTAAGACACTTGAGTCTTGAAATGATGAAGATATTCGCAAAATCTCGAGTTTGACCACAGCATCAACAACAACGTGACCTTCTCCACCTTCGCACTCGAGCAACGAACTCCTTGCGCACAATCAACCTCTTCCTCACATTTATCCGCTGATGAGCTGATTCCTCGTCCAGATAACTAATCTGACAGCGGCAGCCTTGCTTCCAAGGCCCGCCCATGACAGCCACGGTGCTAAAACCCCAAGGCACAGAAAACTACATCACGGAACTTACCAAGCGAACGCGAACGCGCATGTGAACTATCTGTCTTTTTCTAGTTAACTAGCATACCGTTGCAATCGTCGGATGATTTCCTTCTTTGCCGCTGCCGGTACCAGTGCGGTGCGGTGAAGCCTGACTCGCTGCGTGTTTGGTAGGTGAAACGTTTGGGACCGCACTAGTTGCTCCTTGCGCGGCACAACGGTTTGGTAACGGCGGGCGTGGGCGTCAGATGCACCTGTCAAGATCGTGTGTGCGTGTAGATGGCGATGTCGCTTTGACGATGTTCGCATATATGGTTTTGCTCGGAGTGCGAAACGGCAGAGTGGGAAGTTGACGTGGTGTTGGTGGGTTTCGCACACGTAAGCATGGGTGCATGCAATACACGCGTGTGTCGTCTTTGGCGATGTGCATAATAGACAGCCTCGTCATAGACCGGAGTAGGACCATGAGAATTCCAAATCACAATCGTCTTACTAAGAGACGCGACTGGTTTGCGAGAGAGAGAGAAAAATCGGCATCCCGTGTTCCTATTCTTGTGTGCTGGTCTGACGCTCGACCCCATGTCAGCCCTGCGCATCTCCCGCTCATCCCGCGAACGTCATTTGACTCGCATCCCACCGATCCTGACGCACAACGCCACAGCCCGTCCATCCGTCCAACTAGACGACATCCCAGCCATCTACATAGTACCAGTGCTCTGTTGCTAATTTCCCGATATTCATGCCTTGCTGCCTTACCCTTCCTCCATGATCCCTTTCCTGTGGCCCCCCCTGTAAACACGCCATCTCATCGACCAGAGATCCTCCCTCATCCCCACCACGCCCCCTAGCTTGGAACCAAACGAGTCAATTTCCATGTCCCCGGTCAGCGCATATGCCGAAGTCCTAATGCAGATCTACGCTCCGGCAAGTGTCAGGGATGTACGTTGGATTCCGGTCCAGTGGAGTCGGTCAGGGTCGCATTGGCGGTATTCATGCGAACTGGGTTTGAGACCTGGTGGGGATCTGTGAGCGCCTTAGTTTCGAGGCGCATAACTGTGGCGTGTGAGCGATGGATGCGCGCGATGGATTCGCATGCCTTGTAGGGCTGATAGAATCTGTGTATGCATGGCTGAGGGGGGAAGATGACGTCGCAGGCTGAAGCCGTGGGTTCGGTCATATCCGCGACATGCATGAGTGAGGGGTTCTGGAAGTGTGACCGAAGGTTTGGTGGTGCATAAGGCGATAGGAAAGCCTGCGTCGGTGTAGTCGCCTAATGCGTGTGTAACGCGTGACTCCCAAAGGATTGTGTCGGACCGTAGAGTCGTTGGGTCAGCTGACTCTCATGACTGTATCAACGTAATCGTTGTGGCTATCTGGGGTGATGTTTGGCCGACAGTACTCCCGAGGGGACCACGGCTGCACTGTGCTTGCGGCCCTTCTTCATCAGGGGTTGGACTCTGCGACTGTCTCTCCCGCCCCTTCCTGACCAGCCTCGTTGTCCGGTTGCGACCCTCTCCTGTCTTCGGGATCTTGGTCGCCCTTTCCACCATTCTTTTGTTGCTCGCCACTTGATTCAATGTCGTCTCTCAACTCTGCCTCTTCTTCTGGGTTTTCTGTGCCCCTCGAGCTGTACTCTTTATCCATGCGATGCATCAACTCTTCGCCGGGTAGAAGAATGCTTCTGTCGATCGCCAAAGGTAGTCCACGATGTCTACCACGTAGCATAGCAGCCATTAGGACGACTTTGCTCAAGCTGGCAAAGTCGCCGCATAGACTAGTGTTCTTTCCTGGTACACCGAGGCTCAAGCCGACAGTGCCATATGCCGATGTGACTTCGAATAATATCGAGAAGACGCTGAATCCCGGTGATGCGTTGAGAATGTGACCTCGCTCAATGATACATATAAGAAAGAAGACAAAAAACTGGAACCAGATGTCGTAGGCGAGCTGCTTCTGCAAGTGTGATGCTACGCCAGCGGCACTGCTATCGTTCTCTTCCAGTCCGATCGATTTCTCCTCGTACGTGTTCGTCTTCCGCAGTACCAACGTCATAGGGTAGATCGAGATGTACATGATGACTAAATAAGCCACCAAGCATGCGGGCGCGAGCGAACTCATGTTGATGATGTATGCGCCGCTAGTACGTAGTCCGCTGGCCATGAAGAGTCCGTCTACTACTCTAGCGCCAGTCGATAGAGCTTCGACATCTGGCATGCCGATGTTCAATATCTCGAAGCAAAGCCAGGCAGTGATATCGATGCCGAGCTGAACAAGAAAGAGGTATACTGTCTCGCGCTTGGGGAAAAGATATATGAAACAACGTCGCGGATGCTGTAGAAGAAACTGCATCGTGTTTCTGATACGAGACTCTTTCGGCAGTATCTTCTTCAATACCCATATCGTGATGCGGAGTAGAATCGGGAACTGCGTCTGACCAGCGAACGCGAGACATGCAGCCACAAGCAGAACATATGCATTGCCGCTGAAGGGAACGAAATTAGCGTTGAGTACGTTAAGTCCACCGTTGGAGAACTCTGTCACCGTCGCAAAATATGCCCACCATCCTGGATTGATGGCACCGGGCTGCTCTTGATACAGTGTGCTTTTGGTATCGTCGCGATATGCGTACGGTATCAGGAAAGTGATACCAAGCAAATACCAGAAGATCTGATAGCCGACCAGGATAAGCAACAGAGCTTGGAGTGCGCGATACTCCACACCCCCAAGTTCCATGCGATCTTGCTCACTGAGCTCGCGGAATCGACCCTTGGAGTCGAGATGTGGCTTGAAGGAGACATAGTCGTGTTTCTCGGGTTTCAACTCTGTCGAAAAGCGATCCAGAATGCGGCTGAAGAAGTTGCGTGCGGACTTCATTTCCCAGGGTGTTGGTATGAAGCCAAATCCAGTCTCGTAGTGATATGTGCGTCTTCTAGACTTGGGATACATTTTTGCTTGCGGCGGCTCCTCGTTCTCTTCTTGTACGTTATTCCCTGCCTGGCTTCGTTTTGCATTCGGTCGCTGGCGCAGGCTTCCGGTACTGCTGCTGCTTTCATTTTGATCCGAATGGCTGTTCTCGATATCTCGCACGAGTCTTTGCATTGTGTGCGAATGTTTGACGACATCTGCCATCTTTCTTCGGAATAGCGCTCTTCTGATGAGTACCACAGCTGTCGATACAAATGGTATGTTGCCAATCATTAGCAGCACGGCGAAGGTCGCTTGCTGGAAGCCGGAGAGATCTCCGAGGTCTACCGAATTGAGCCCTGCATCGATTAGTATTCTACTCACACAAACCCAGAGGACGGGGAAGACACTTACCTGTAGTTGTCATAGCACTGGTACACAAGAACAGCGCGTCGGTGTAAGTCACATGCGCATCTCCATACTCTTTGGGCCCATTAGCAAGACCCTGCCCGTAAACAATGACCGAGGAGATCGCAATGACAACGACGAAATACAGCATATGCGCGCGATAAAAGTTCAACTTCAACACCTCCTCTTTCAAATACTTCAAAAAGTCATCTTTGGCCTGACGCGGGTTGCGCAGCTCCTCAATCGGGTCGTGCATCGCGTCGTTGTCGTCGAGCGGCAACCACGACGAGCTCATTCCGGCTGCAGTCGCAATGTATATACTTTGCGGTATTTGTCCAAGACGCGTACCAAGAGAAAGCGCGGATCAACGTGGCAGATCTGGATAGCGCAACCTTGTCAGAAGTAGGCTGTGTTTAGCTGCGCTGCCCAGGCATTTTTCGCGAGGGATGATGTCACTGAACCTCAAGCACAAACCTTATCGCGCGTGGGGAACGACGCATCATCGTGGACGCGACAACATTGATCTTCAGGTCCGCGCCCTTCTCAATTGGCTTGCTGTACTGAACGGTGAGGAGTTGGCAGATCGTAAGTTGTTTCCGTGCCGGTCCGGAGATGTGGTGATAAGAGCCTGGATTTGTCGTGCGATGAGGTTCGTCCCTGGTGTATTACTAGGATCATCCATATCGAACTCGTCTGACGGGCGTATATGTGCGCTGTCACCGCCTCCTACGTTGCATTCTGTATTCCTTGTTATGATCTCGAAATGCTGGATGAGCACGATTCAATCGCACTGGATCGCGGTATATACAAGGACACGTTATGATGTTGAATTGAGATTGACCGAGATAAACCGTACCTACTGAATATGTGGAAGGACTACTTACCCAAATGCGTAAACTAGCTCGGCATCACATTGCGCAAAACACCATACTAGAGTTCTACCACCACGCCAATACACTCCTACTCTGAGCACATAACAACTTTGCCCTCCTCAAATACCACACCCTTCTCCCTCATCTCCTTCTCTTCCTCCTTCCCAATCACCCTCCCCTCCCCATCAACCCTCTCAAACACCACCCCCACGCGACTCAACTTAAGATGACTCCACATCCTCGCCGACTCACTCCAACCCCCCAACGCCCCAAAACACGCACTAATCCCCACAATCCGCTCTCCACCCACCACCTTCCTCACGAACCAATCGCGCATATCCGGCTCCCCAAAGTATCCAACCCGACCACTCTGCGTAACAAGTTTGAGAGCGCGGTACTGCTGCTCGACGTGGACTTCAGTGATGTCTTCCTGGTTCAGCGGGAAAGTGACAGTGTTTTGTTGTTGGTAAGCGTGTGGACCGCCGTTGTGCTTCTGTAGATCTTCCCATGCGGCTTTGAGGGATTCTCGGAGAGGCTCATTCATGTCGTGCGCCCATTTGGGGGATTGACATAGGACGGGCCCGCGAGAGCCGACGCTGCGGCCGCGATTACCCCACATGTCATGAGGGCCGGGGTTGATGCCGACGATATCGATACCGGTGTGTAGTTGGCAGGACGATGACGAGGTGTTGGTTGCAGGGAGAGAGCCGGGCAGAGCGGTCGTTGCGGGGCTTGCGCTGGTCGATGGCATGGATTCTTCGGTCGAATCGTGAGGCATGGAGATACTCGTTGCAACGGGCTGAAAGCATTCAATACCTGTGTTTTTCTTGCTCCACATGAACACATCGTTGGGCATCATATCCTCGGGGAGTTCGTATGGTATGGGGTGGGTAGAAGTGGGGAAGGACTCGAAATGGATCGTAGGATGCGCCCAGACGGAAGCCTGTTGAGGATACCTTTGACCAATACGGTCGTAGGGTAGCGATGATCCAAGCTTTCCCCATGCCATCTGCTGAACGGATGTGTATCGCGGCTGAGCGAGTGGTGCTGAGTCCGGTCTGCATGCTTGAAGAAGACCGAGACGTGAGATAGCTCCATTCTTGCAATGAGGTCAGTAGATGCCTGTAGAGTAGCGCAGACGGCTGCAGCATTTGGCAACTCACCGAAGCAATTTGACCCGTCATTCCTACTAAATGCATGCCATCCAACACTTGGAACGGCCTCCGTACACCAGCATAACTCTGGTGCAAGCCTTTGTTTCTCCCACTATTCAGTGTCACCTACTTCTGATTAGTATATTTTTCTTCGGAGATGGTGAGCCCAGCGTACAGAGATACCGCTGATCACAGCAGTCTTGGATGGCCAAGGATCCTCAGGCTTCCCATGAGGCCCGGTCTGATTCACAATATCTTCGACACAGCAGACGATCTCCTTGATCCACTCCCCACGATCAAGATGAAACGGAAGTCCAGTGAGTCCATCAGAGCTGCCAAAAAGTCTTGTTTGGTCACCCAAGGTGACGGAAATTCCCACTAAGTAGTCGTGGCTGTTGTTGATCTGGCGCCAGTAGGTGTCCAAAACGCAAGCACGATGAGTAATCTCATTCCAAGAGTGAATAAACTGTGCCGAAACGGTCTCGGTCTGAGCTGGCGGGGGATACATGGTCATGGGCATGTGCAAGCATACGGAGCTGTCTAGAATCGCCTTTGCTTCGTCCGAGTCTGCCGGCTCAGCGGGCTCGACCGGCCCAGTTGCTTTCTTGTAGAGCGAGGCTACTGGCTGGCAGCAGCCCCAGATCCGGCGTCGATTTGCTATGTGCATGAGGGGTCCCTGGATGCCGAACCTGGGACGAGTCGATGCATTCACCCAGAGAAAAAGACCTTTGTAGTCGAGCGCATCGGTGGTCGCAGTCTCCACGAAGTAACGCAACTCGTAGAACCATGGCAATACACGCATGCGTACCATATGTTTCCAGAATGCGGCTTCGCGAGTGACGCTGTTGACGTGATGCGAAGCTTGCATGAGCGAAAGCATGTCTTTGGAGTCAACATATCCAAGGATTTCGAGAAGCAGGTCGTACGGGAGGACTGCAATTGGATCCCTTCGCACCTTGTGCGCTAGATTTGCCAACTGCGGACTCCCACCAAAAATGTTGGCGGGTAGGATGCCTTGTATACTTTCTTGGAGAGCAGGTCGGGGGGAAGGATCGCACACTTCATACTCCGATCCCGCTCCATTATGCCAAAATTGCTCGTTGCCCGAAAAGACCTGATAGTCCACATCCAAAACTGGTCTTTCGTTTGCAAGAAGAGCGCTAAACGTTCTCAACATCACATGCTTATCAATATCTCTGCTCTCAAGTCCTATGCTCTTTGCGAGAATGTCGAAGCATGCCTCGTGGAATGGAAAAGCTTGTTGTTCGTCCCCACTCGCGTAGCTCGTGATGTTCAAAGAACCTTCGCCCGGATCATTGGGATCTCTTCCAGGCCCTTCGATATCTAGAGAGCCATAGTCGTAGTAACGGCCTCTACCGGATATGTAGGCTTTCCGCTCGGGATTGAGTGCCAGTGCGCGGACCCGATTAATCCATTTGACGTCGTCGAGTCCGATGAGTCTAGGATCAAAACTGTTGTCCTCAGTGTTCTCGGTACTGGCATAATTGTCAAGACCCCACTCATCGCTAATGTCCAACTCGGGATCTTGCGACCAACTTCCATCATCGAGTTCTTCCACAGGCCCAGGCTCGGGGGTACGGGGTCGAAGAGCGACGTCAAGAATCTCGGATGATCTCGTAAGTAAGTCGGAGTCGTTGCTATCGATAGATTTCGTGTCGTCCGAAGAAGAATCCGAGGAAGGTTCGTAATCCGAATCTGCATCGTCTTCCTCCTGTTCTTGCTGTTCGATGCGTTGCTTCTCAATGGCTTCGGGGTCGATCGCATCTTCCATTTCTTCGTCCTCATCGTCACTGTAGACAATCCCGCGTCCCACCTTCTTCCCAGTACGTCTCCCCATTCTTATATCCATCGCGCGATCTCGCTTGCGCAAAGACTTGCCATTTCTCGATCCAATCCTGATGGCGCCAATGTTCATGCAGATAGAGCATAAGATACAGTAACAATCGAAGGAGCCCATGATGAATGATAAAAGATGAATAAAACACAAGCTGGTATCAGAACAGAAGGTTGGAACTCGAGCTCTTATTAAAAGAAGCTTGTGGAGTATCTAGGGCGGCACGGCGGGATTATGGGGTCTTCGGATTAGGCGTGCACCCTTGGTGCAACGCCACCAACCCCACTTTGTCCAAAAACGTGGCTGCAGCCTTGCCATCCCCGGACATGATCTAGGCATCCCAAGGCAACACCGCCCAAGTTGCGTCATTCACAAACTAGTTTATTGCGCAAGCCAACATGGATTAGTACTTTCCAGAAATGCATTTGATGCCACAAACCATCTGACCACAACCCATTACCAGGCTAGAGACACGGGATAAAACGAAGGCCGCAATGGGGTAATTCTATGATGGGATGCAGGTTGAAAAGCATCCGCCGCCGCAGCGTTTCTTGGATTCTTTCAATTCGAGAACTCTATAGATAGGATCGTGAGCCTTGACCCATGACAACAAAAAGAAAGATACCAAATTATGGTGGTAGGTATCGATAGCGGAGCCAACGAGAGCTCGGAAAAAGAACTCACGATTGTGCATCATGGAACTCATCGTCCTCCTGAGTCTCACTATCGGTCCTCCGCAGGAGATCGTCCTTTCGTGGCTCTGGTTCGGGGTTGGAATTAAGGAGTTTGCTGGGAGGCAGTTCCTTGGCGAAGGCCTCACGGTTCTCGGGTGAGATCGCACTAGGTTGCGAATAGGGCTTTTCGAGAGGTGGCATAGGTGGGTTGCTAGGATTGCTGGGGATGCTGCTGTTTTTGAAGGGCGGGGCATGAGTCGATGTTCCGTCGAAGTTGCTGGGAAGACCTACGCTCTGCTGTTCGTGTTGTGTCACTGGTTGCGACTGCACGCTTGTAGGCTCGGACGGTACTGGCTGCAACGTTTCCGTAGACTGTGCTGACTGTCCAACGGGTACTTGTTCCGCTGGTTGTACAGCTCCTTGTGCCTGTGGTAGATGCGCTTCACTCGCTCGCGATGGGATGTTGAATTGTTTGTCTGGCTTCTGACCCGGGAGGATCGCGTAGATCTGCAGGATCTGCTTGACGACCTCGTCAGGCGTCTTGCCATCACTACATCCTGTTAGCACGAAACGCATACGGAGAGTTTGCAGGGTACTGACATCTTAGCATTGATGATCCAGTCGAGGTCTTCTTCGCCCTCTTCGCTGCCGCCACTGCCGCCCTTTACGCGTCTGAAGAGCTGTGGGTGCCAGTCCACGCCTTCGCTGTTTCTTTTCGCAGCTTCCTGTCTTTGCATGTCTTCAATCTTAGCCTTGGCATCGGTTGCGACGTCCTGATCTCTCCGCTTCACAGCCTCGGTCACATCGTGCCAGAGCTTTTGCGATTCTCGGTCGTTTTGTTCCTCGAGAGGCCGAGCCGACGGTGGGGTATGTTTGGTATGTGCTGCATCGAACAGGAGCTCCTTTTTGCCAGTCTACAAATGGTCAGTACATGTTCTGACCCTGCAAGAGTGAGAACCTTACTGTCAGATCCTTGATGTACATCTCCTCGTTCCACTGGCCCGAGAGCTCGTAGAGGTTCTTGCCGCTGGAGTCTTTGATGTAGCCACCGATAGCGTTGTAGGATCCACTGAAGTAACCCTTGGTCTTGAATTCGAGATCGGCAGTGAGACCGGTCTCGGGGCAGCGAATGTATGCGTGGTCGCCAAGCTCGTACTTCATCGTCCCGAAGAGGATACCGCGCGCGTACATGTTGGGTTGAGTGACGAAACTACCTGTCGTGAGCCTCAAGCTGTGGTGTTCATGCGCTAGACTTACAATCGCTCGCCGGTATTTAGTAGCCGCAGAACTGCGATGCCCTCCATCATACTCGCCGCGGAGTTGCCGAGGAACTTGCTGCGAGGCTTGAGGGTGCCGTCTATGCGGATGTTGTGCTCGGGGGCCATGAAGAAGTAGCTCGACTTGGGCGGGTGGTGCGACGTCTGTTCGGAGATGTAGTAGCCCTTGGTGCCGTCCGGGTAGTCCCAGTAGCCTGTGAAGATTTCACCCAGGATGGGGTTGAGCGGCTTCTTGACTCCCCTAAGTCACATCAGTTGTTGCTTGTGGGCGCAAGAAGACGGCGGATATGCATACGGGGGCTTGATGTGCCAACCACTCAGGTAGAACTTGGTCACTGCTACGAATCGCTGTACAGGGTCTTCCACCTTGGTTATAGGGAGAAGTGTCTCCGGATGTGCCATGAAGCTGCCTGATAGTCAGCCTATGCACCCGTCGCCAAGCCTAGATGCGCTACACACTTTGTTATGCGTTCCAGCATCGATCGCGGTTCGAGGATGAAGGTGGGAAGCGTGACGCGGCTCAAGTCGGCGCCAGGCCGCAGTTGGGATATGATGTGGGAGAGCATGCTGCCCTGCTCGGAATCCATGACGGTCTCGTCCTCCTTGGTCGTCTCGTCGCCGCCCTCGTGTCGTCGTGTCTCGTCTATGGAAGACCCGCGGCTACCTAAACATTCAAACTTGCATCAGCTTCGGTACGGCCGGAATTCGGGATATGACGCACTGGTGAGCGACGACCGCCGGTGTTTGGAGACTATAGGTAGGTGCGGCATGGTGAATACAGGCCGCAGAGGGAGAGAAAGGGAAAAGTGGTGGAGGTGAGGCGGGCAGAAGCAGGCAGCGAAGTACCGGCAGAGGATGTCTTGGTGCTTCGGGTGCCGGCGAGGGTGAGCTTAGTCGCAGCAATGACGATGGGGGCTTCACAAAAACTAGCGACCCCGCGCGTTGGACCTGTTTAGCAGCAAACTGTAAACATCAACAACGCTCGACCGTGGAAGGGCGTGCAGTGAGGGGTCCAGGGCGCCAGGCGACACAGCATGCAGTCTTTTGAGCATCCAGCTGACTGGCACTAATATAGCGATCGCCAGGCTGTGTTCTGCAAGCCTGCTGCCCCATGCCCCGCAGTCGGCACATGCCAAAGCGCCGCCATACATACCAAGTACAGTACGCGACACGCGCATGCGGCACGGCTCGGAGCACGACTATTCTTCCGAATACCCAGGACCTGCGATTCCAGGAACAGTGCCACCACATACAGTGGGGGCCGGCCCGGATGTCGC